TCATAGATTAGCCCCTAAATAATCTCAGCAGACGGATCGCGTACCTACTGGCCGTGTCTGTCTTTGCGCCTGGCAGCGTGCCGCCGGCCTTGGTAAGTGTTCTGGTATTACACGTAGTACTGCCGCGCCACAGCATAGTGTTTACTGTGATGTGACCGTGCTGCCACGTCTGACCGGGGAGACTTATTGTATGGACCTGTTTGACCGACTTTCTTCTTTAAAGGTCTAGTTTGTGTTGAACGTAATCCTTTATGAACTGATAACGGCGTTGCGTGTAGAGTCAACCTACTTGACGCCATTTTTTATCATGATTTAGGATATTCCAAGTAATCCGAGATACATAGTGATTTGAACTATTGCTAGCATCTAGGCTTAGTCCATTAGTGTCATCCCTAGCACCGTGTGCAAAAAGTGATACTACTTTCCGTAACCGTAGATAGACTGCATAGCCAGATTATGAACAAGGCTTTTCGAATTGCATCAATCTGAGATAATGCGGGATTCAAGAACATCAAAAGACAGACCGCAGGGAATGGGTGACACGGGTTTTCGCAGTGGGAACATCATAATCAGTAAAACGAAGGTGACACACCATTTATAAGAAGTTTTGTCAATCGCGGTACTGCCGACCCTTACGTGCAGCATCCTATCCAGGCTACATCTTCCATACATCTTCTTTATGAAATTCTCAAATTTACGTGATCAAAATAATTCTTCTATGTTTCTATTGGTCATTGTCTGGAGTTTGGAGGAAGACCGTGATTCTTTGCTAGTCTTTTAGGTCTGTCTTAAGTCTGGTAAGAGGAGGAACAACGACAGTGTATTTTGGCATTTTATTAACTATGATTCGGAAATTCTAAACTAATCCAGATAATTCATTTTGAATAATGTAACTCCTGACATATACACTGTGGTTTTTATGTTCATAGTACCCAATTGTCTCGCCGAATCAACAACATAATATGTTTTAATTTCTGTTTATTGTTATCAATTTTGAAGTTTGTTGTTGCTAAACTTGGTTAGCCCTACAACTGCACAATCCAACTTACGGTACGACAGGGGGCTGCTATGCAAAGTTCAAACCCGATGGACTTCGTAAAAATATATTATTTTTTAGCCCCTCCAAAACAAATTCTATATGACGATCTAGGTCTGTAACACAGGCGTATGAGTTACAAGTAAATTTCCGTGCTTACAAGTTAATTTTAAATAATCCCGTTTCACAACGCATATAACTACACTTGAGGCATGTGTATAAAATCATCTAGTCTCGGCACATTTTGGACAGATTTTGTGATTTGATACCAAATCTTATCACACTTGTATCATGAATCTATTACATGTATATAGCAAAATGACGTCAAAACAGATTGTTGTTGAATGCAAATTGCTATTTTTGAATAAAATACAAGCAACCACGTCTTTTTGGAACTTTTCTATCCTCTCGGAATGCCGGGGAGATTAAGCTCGAGAGAACAACATCGAAGATAAAATTTGTTTTTCGAACATCTGCGGAATTAACAACAACATTGATGCTGTTGATCACTACCTACAATCCAATCGTCCCGCCGTGTTTTTCTTGGCGGAGACAAAAATTTCAGAGTCTGCACCGATTAACGATGTCAGCTTCCCAAACTACGAGGTGCACTCCAATCTGAGAAAGAACGGGGGAGTTGTGGCTTTTGTCCGCAGCAGTCTTTCCTGCTCCAGAGGTTTCTTTGGAATCAGACAGGAAGGACATTCTGTGGCTTCGCCTCAACTCCAAAACATCACGGCTGTCTGTTCTTTATAACAGAAATTATCCACGTCGGAATGGAGGCATACATCCCTCACACAGTGAAAGTGCCTAAACCAGGGTCAAACGGCTGGTTTAACAAATCGTGTGACACTGCTCTCCAGCAGAAGAACAAATATAACGAAGCGGTTCGCAATGCCAGCACGATATAAAAGTTAGGCAGTCGGTCTTTCTGGATGCTGGCCAAGCAGATTGAAAAGAACTTCTCACACAGTAGCCTTCCACCACTTGTGTGTCAGGATGGAACTATTGTATTCGACTCAAAGGCCAAGGCGGAAGTGCTAGCCAAGATCTTTGCTGCCAATTCCACCATGGACGTTCCCCCCAACGCCCAAGTGCCGTCAATTCAAAGGGTTCCCTACACTATGCGGGAGGTAACATTCAGGCATAAGACCGCAAGACGAGTGCTCTTGTCTCTCGACATCAACAAAGCTTCCGGACTTGGTTCCTGCCATTGTACTGAAGAGGTGTGCAGCGGAGCTTGCTCCAGTTCTTTCGCGTCTCTTCCAGATATCTTATGAATCCGGACCTTCCCAGAAAACTGGAGATTTGCTATGTCCAACCCATCCCAAAAAAAGGATCTAAGACCGACCCTTACAACTATAGGTCTATAGCTCTGCTTCCTCGAACGTCACAGCTTGATTAGCGACAGGCAGTATGGTGTCCGGCACCAACGATCCACAGGGGACCTGGTAGTTTACGTCACGCAATTGCAGAGTAAACTCATCCAGTCTTATGGTGAGGCTCAGTTAGGCACAGGATAACACTCAGGCATAAGACCGTAAGACGAGTGCTCTTGTCGCTCGATATCAACAAAGCTTCTGGTCCGGACTTGATTCCTGCCATTGTACTGAAGCGGTGTGCGGCGAAGCTTGCTCCAGTTCTTTTGCGTCTCTTCCAGATATCTCATGAATCCAGGACCTTCCCAGAAAACTGGAAATTTGCTCTTGTCCAACCCATCCCAAAAAAGAGATCTAAGACCGACCCTTACAACTACAGGCCTACAGCTCTGCTTTCTGTTTTAAGTAAGGTGATGGAGAGGTGCATAAATCGCGAGCTTCTGGACTACCTCGAACGTCACAGCTTGATTAGCGACATACGGTATGGTTTCCGGCATCAGCGATCCATAGGGGACCTCCTAGCTTACGTCACGCAATTGGAGAGTAAACTCATCCAGTCTTATGATGAGGCTCATGTCGTTGCTCTTGATATTACGAACGCGTTCAATCAGCTGTGGCACGCTGTCCTCTTAAGCAAACTTCTATCCTATGGCCTCCAAGAAAAGCTTTGCAGATGGGTGGCTGACTTTATCTCTGACCAGAAGATATCGTCGTAATTGACGGGTTCTCCTCTTCATCCCACAACGTCAACGCGGGTGTTCCCCAGGGATCGGTCTTGGCTCCAACACTGTTTGTCTTACATATCAACGACCTCCTTTCCTGCACGATCAACCAAATCCACAGCTTCGCTGATGACAGCACTCTACATGCAGGAATTCAGAGTGACAAGCCGATCTCTACCTCTGAGCTGGAAAAAAGAAGACTAGCGACGACTTCCTCTCTGACAAGAGACCTGGAGGCTATCACTGCTTGGGGCCGCAACAATCTTGTACAGTTCAATGCTTCCAAAACGCAGTACTGTACTTTGACGAACAAAAAGCGTCGTAGCGCTTATCCAGTTTCGATGACGGCCGAGTTCTGCCAAAGAGCCATTTATTTCGGCTGGTCGGAGATCACCGAGGACCTGATATGGCACGAAAACATCTCGTCAATAGCTGCAGCTGCTGGGAAAAAGCTAAGCTATTTGTTTAGGGCTAAGAAGTACTTTTCTCCGCATGACCTTCTCACTCTATACAAGGCCCAGATAAGGCCTAGCCTCGGGCTTTGCTTCTCAGAGCTATCTTCAATGATGCCGCCGCGCGATGTGCCTGCCAGACAGACCCGCCTGACTTTGGCGTCCCATCCTAACCGTGTCGAACTTTGTACATCCAGAACTGGCCGATACGACCGCTCCTATGTCCCGAAGGTGTTTTTCCCAGTTCTACTAACCTTAGGCAGTTCAAAAATCGTATTAACAAAATTTCTTTGGCATCATCATAGCAGCCGCGGTGTTCCGGCATTTATGCTTCTGCTTGCGCGGCTGCTTCGATATACAGGTATATAAAAAATATATATAAACTAAAAAAAAACATATATTGATGACCGGCTATGATGTCAATAAGTAAAACATTAATAAAAACTGCAGGAGATTCTGTAACTCAAAGCTAGAAGTGAGGACGCTGTTGTGTTACAGAATACGTCTACATTTTTTTTACAGCGAAGTAACCGCGCAGGCAGAAGCCTAAATGCCAGGACACCACGGCTGGTATGAAGCAAAGAAATTTTGTTAATCCGACTCTTGAACTGCCTGAGGTTAGTAGAACTGGGAAAAACCTCCTCTTGTAGATTGTGCCTCAATCTCTGCACGCTGGGGACAAAGGAACAGTCGTATCGGCCAGTTCTGGATGTACGAAGTTCGACACGGAGTCAGGCGGGTCTGTCTGGCCAGCAAAGCCCGTCGGTGTAGCGGTAGAAGAGAGCTAGATCGCCGAGGCCCACCGCCGACAGCGCGGACAGCCCTCCTCTGGACAGCACCGAACATAGGTAATGTAGTCGGGACGGCAGCACCCCAAACGTGTGAGCAATACTCGGGGCTAGGTCTCATTTGGAGCAGGTCAAGCGCGGAAGAAAGTGTCAGATCAAGTCCTGGAGCTAGGACGCTTTTTGTTCGTCAATGTACAATACGAGTACTGTGTTTTGGAAGCATTAGACTATACAAGATTGTTGCGTCCCCAACCAGTGATATCCGCTAGGTCTCTCGTCAGAGAGGAAGTCGCTGCTAGTCTCCTTTTTTCCACCTCACCGGCAGAGATCGACTTGTCGCTCTGAATTCTTGCATGGAGAGAACTGTCATCAGCAAAGCTGTGAATTGAATCGATGGTACCAGAAAAGAGGTCGTTGATATGTAACAGGAAAAGTGTTGGGGTCAAGACCGATCCCTGCGGAACACCCACGTTGATGTTGTGGGATGGAGAGTAAAATTTCTCCCATAATTATGTACTGGCGCAGCATAGGTAGTGATGTTAGTGGTGTTTTATTTGGAGATCGTTTTTTCAGAATAGTGTAACAATGTGCGACTTGTAGTGTTTGTGTTACAGGGCCCTGGACTATATTTGATTTACCAAGCGAAGCGCTAATTTGTGGATAATCTCACCATCAAACCTAAACAACGAGGAATACCAATACAATTCAGTTTTTAACACTGTATCATTGATATTAAATTATACTGTTGCGGTGGGGATGGGAAGGTCAACCTGGGTTACACTACACTGTGCACATGGCTTTCAACTCTTTTGATGTTGTATATTGTTTGTTGCCGTCCTTAACGCATACCGGATCATGATACTTTTTATCGGATGTGATTTACAATGTGATTGATACATCGTGGCCAGTACAGGATTTATTGAGATTTAGTGTTGGATTAACCTTAGGATAAAATGGTAAGTTTTGTTTACTTACATAATTATATAAGCTTGTGAAGAATTGGCGTCAAACAGGTTGACTTCCATCTTCCAATTCGCCGATGGCCTAATTTTAAAAATTTGAGTAATAAAGTAAAGTAAAAACATTGGCGAAAACATTCTGAAATAAGATATTGTTTTTTTATGTTACATGGCATGTTTGTCACGAAAAACCATGTCACTCATTTCCGTCGGTGTGTTTGTCTGTCTGTCCGCTGATTTTTGGCCCCTCTACAACTTCGACATTACGGCTCTGATTCTGATGGAATTATGAAACAACAAGTACGAAAAAGCTCTGTTGTTTTTGAGAAAATCGATTCAGTTGCGGCAAAGCTACGGACAAGAAAAAGAGAAAAAAATGAAAATCGCTCAAACTTTTCGACAGTCTAGGCGCTCCATTGTTTATTTTGACCTGTGGGCGATCGCAGGGGTGGGTGAGGATATAAGGTACCTCAGTTTACATTTACACGTAGATTTCCCAATATATTCGCCCTTAAGACTTGCACAACGAAGATAGAAGATAAACCTGTCGCAAGCTGGCGCGGTGTATAGCTGCCATCCTGGGTCTTCAAAATATTTTGCTTGCAAAATAATAATGATAAATAAAACGCTCGCTACCGACTGAACTGACGATCGAGTATTTTCGTATCAACAGAATGCAAGATCAATGATGAATGATGAATGTTTCAACTATATCCTGAGAAAAAATTAATTGTTGATGTTGTAGAACAACAAATACGTACTATTGGAGTGCAAACTACTTGCACCGCTCTCAAAATATTGCCACTTTCGCTACAAGTTATCGTTATTGACATATTTGAATCTTTTGAGTCTTTCCTTTGAGGTTCAGATTTTATTATTGTGTTTTCCTGATACGATTTTATATAAATTTCCTGCAACACCTCTATATCTTTTGAATTTCAATAAAACTACCTAGATATATTTTTACGAAAAAAAAAAACGGAAACCCAAGGAATCATTCATTAAAGTTTGGTCATACTACTGTTGCACGGTGAAATTAGGTACTTGTCGTCGATCCTTTAGGATTGTACAAAATGAATGTGAAACGAATTTTCTACAAAAGTGCGAGATAATTAACGCCGTAATTAAAAAACTGCAATTTCCATTTATATGGGTTTAACCTGTATCTATAACTATTGTGTATTTCCCTACTTTATTCATAATATACTTTATTTATAAAATCAGTGAAGAGAAAGTAACTCTACGTGTTGGATCCTCATGCATAATTTACTACATGATTGTTATGCTAATTTACATTGGTATGCCAGAAACAATACCTGTATATTGTTATTCAAAATAGGTACTAATTGATAGAGTAATCACACCTGACATCTTATTGATGCTGAGAAAATGATATGCTTAAATATTTATGTTGATAACTAACAAGTACACAACACATTATTGCAAATAATGGGTAGGCGTGTCTGCACTAATAAAGTAAACAAAAATTCGGGAATTCCGTTACGTAAGTGATAAAATTGCAAATACTGTTTTGTGATGTGTCGACAATATAGGCTTACCATGTCTTATGCCGGGAATAATTATTTCAAATTCAAGAATGACCTGAACTGAATAGAACTGAAAAAATATACGAAAAGGAAGTTTCAATTATCAATTCAATTCATCTAATTACATACTCATAAATGGGTTTTACCTGAAACACCGCAAATACATTGAAAAAATTGGATGTTTTAGATTTATACAGACGCATGTAACGAAGGTGGACAGGTTGGAATTTACAAAATCCGTATTGCCTTCTAATAAGCTTGAGCAATTGATTTTGCAGTACAGAAGCTATTAAGGCGTTTATTTCTTTGCAGTTGGAGTATATTTAACATCTGAGATATTAAACGCATTAATCATGTCGGTCAGTCTATGATTAACTCTATGGCCCCTCTATAACCACCAAAAGATTTGCACAAAGCGTATATCACAGTAATCTTAGCTGTTATATTCTAATTTTATATTCATTAGCATTTTGTGATAAATAGTGATGGCTTGCAGGAAATAAGTAATACGACAAGATATGCTTTATTTCATTGATTCAACATAAATAGATTCAAACATTATTTTTTGAAGTAAATCCGAATGAATACAATGCTTAGTGCGTGTAAAATTCAACAATGCCTATGGACAGCAGTGCGTAATACTGTACCGCGATCTTTTTCAACAAATACAAAATATCGTTCAGGGAGCTCAGTTTATTTCATACTGCATCGAATGATATGATTTTAATACTAAACGAAAATGTCGGATGCCGGCACTCCTCTGGTCTCATTGGCTCCGCGTTCACGGAGACTACATTGTTGTTCAAGTGCAAAAAGTAGCTTAGTGCTGCAGTTTTTTACCATTCCTAGATATTTGCAAGTAAGCCTTCATACCTATGGGTCAAAACTAAATTTTACGACCTGGTTTGGACGCTCAAAGCTCATATTAAAAAAATGCGCCCGATATAAGACAATACCTGCCCTCCAGTATCATAAAAATGGCCAGTTTTATCCAAAAATATCGAAAATGTGATAAAATTCACGTTCTTCCGAACCCTTAAGGTTTGATCGCGTCGTCATCCCAAATCGTTCGGTCTAGGACTAGGAAAAATGGAGCCCGATCTGAGGCATGACCCGCCAGGCCAGGTCGTGGAATTTTAGTTTTGACCACATAATACATTTTTTTAAATGTAAGATCTTAGGTCCATCTTTCTCTTGAAATTCGTTGTAATGTAGTTTTTTTCCCGGTGTAGTGGATTACATACTTTCTGATCTCCTGCGAATTTTCGTTTTCTCAACAAAGTTAAATTTTAGATTAGCCATAATTTAATTATAGTTCTGATATTCTAAATTTGGTATAGTGCCATGTTGGAAATATTAGTTTGTCTCCAATATAGAGACTCGAATCCTCTAGCGAACCTGTCGTTTTTGTTGCCGGGTGGTATGACTATAGGTTGATACATATATCTAATTGTGATTATTTTATCCCAGAAAAGTCCTAGATATATAAAAGTGTTTATAGGTTGAGTTATTGAGTCAGAAAATACTGCGTCTCCAAAATTATTTTTTAAACGTTTGGTAAACACATTCATGAGAGGCTATTCGTTTAGCCTATGTTGAAAGTACATTAACAACAGCACGCGGCTTGATTTTAGGACTTTCATAATAGCTTTGGGTTTCAAGAAGAAAGTCAAGGAGACACATCTTTGTCTACAGTCTGCTTACTTTCCTGTGATGCAGATTGAAATCCTGATAAGGACTGATCTCATTTTTAAGTTTAACATAAAGCTTGAGATATCCCGATCGTGCATGAAGTGTACACATCTGCTGCTAATATAGCGGTTTGTGTCTTAAGTCTTGCTTTTAATGATCGTCCTTCCTGAAGTAAGAGATACAAAAAAAGAGACGTAGTAGTAGAAACGAAAGAGTATGTATCTCAAGTCTGATACTTTCAGCGTTAGGAATCAAATCTCTGTATTATTTTCTTCACTGAAGCTGCAGTTTCCCAGTTTATAGTGTTGTCTCCACACTTTAAACAGGAGGCTGGCACCTGAAGAGTTGCTGGACCAGAGAGGCGAGTAGTTCGCCAGTTAGTGATTCCGAGAAAATAGCGTTTGATTTAATTTTGTTGGATAAACGAGTTGCTGGTTTCACAATCTGGATCCCTCTCAGTTGCCTAAACTTACTGTTTACTATTCTTTTGAACTGGTAACGGAGAAAATTAGTAAGAGGAAATAGAGTCTAGAATATCTAGCTGTCTTTCTAAATAAGAACATGGGATGGAAGGAGGCAGGGAGCAAAAAAAAGTGTACGTCTGCAATTGTTGTCTCTAAGGAATTAAAAACTATGTATCTTTTTCAAATATATTCCGTATCCTCGATTAAGAAAAAATCTAACCTATATATAAATGCCTAACTACTAACTTTCAAAAGACTATGTTCATGCCATTCACAAATCACAGAAACAAATTACCATCCTTTGTACCTATACAGATTAACTGTGATAATATAAATACTCAAATAAATTTAACAAACAAAATAAAATATTTAGGTGTATATTTAGACTCACATTTAAAGTGGAATATACATATTGATTATGTAATAACCAATTTGAGACCATTACTGTTTAAATTCAAGTATCTAAACAAATATTTCTATAAAAAGACAATGAAAATGTTATATCACGCTATGATCGAAAGTCGTATAAGTTACGCAATATTAGGTTGGGGTGGAGCACTTAATAACCAAATTAATAAATTAGAAATTATCCAAAAACAATTTGAAAAAATAATCTTTGACAAACCACTCTTATACCCTTCTGATCTGTTGTATTCTGAAGCAAAACAATTAGACCCTAGGCAACAATTTTTTCATAAAATTATAAATTATCAGTTTCACCATAGAAATAATCTTATTCCGTTAGATCACTTATATCAAACTAGAAACAAAATCAACAACATTAAGCTAACACGTTTCACCTCAAAAAGTATAGGCCAAAGATGTCATACTTATCTTTCCAGTAGATTATGTAACATATTACCAAATTATATAAGAAGTATTTCAAATAAAACAAAATTCAAAATTGAAACCAAAAAATGTATAATTGAAAAAATCGACATCAAATTGCAAACATGATACGTATGAAAGAAATTTAAAATTAATGTAATAGTAAAAACCCTCCAACGTTCATATACTCGTATATGTATGTGTATATGTATGTACAGGTGTGTATGTGTGTATGCATATGTGTATATGTATATAGGAGTATGTGTGTATGTATAGGTGTGTATGTGCATCTATTTATATGTTTATTTATATGAATATATATGAATATATGTATGTATGTGTGTATTTATGTAAAAATGTAAGTTAATACCCACGCACAAGAATTTATTCTTCTGTGGGTAAATTCAGTATATTTACGTATACCTATGTTAGTTTTAGTTATATTTGTATGTTACGTGAATAAACTTATTATTATTATTATTATTTCATGATTGTCAATCTTTACCAGGGGTCTGGTTTTGGCACCGAATTTTCAAATCAGAGGCGTTTAAGGTTTTTGGAAATTATTATTTAATAATTATCAACCATAATTTATGAAAGTGTAAATCATATGAAGCTTACCATTACAAAGTGAATGTCACAAGCTCTTAAAACATACTCTACTCTATTGAAATAATCGCTATATGCTAACTGTAGTTATCTCGAAAGGTCTCAATGCATTACAAAATTGATGAAGGTATATACAAATCCAGTTACGCTGTTACACCACAAGTTTATGGCCAGTTGTAGCTACATTCTTATATTCAGGTTAAAAATATTTATATTGTAAGCATTCCTCATTATCTAATGTCCAATTTTGAAATCACCTTGACAGATATGTATGAGTATGCATGTGTTAGTAGAACTATCCCAAGAACTTTAGTGAAAATGATATTTTCTCAGCATGCAAATTCTACGCTACACACATTCTTTCCCTTTTGGGAACAAAGTAGTGGTCACAAGTATCCTCTTCTGAAGCGGTAATTAACAGCCCACCATCGGGAGTGCTACCCATCTATGAAGTTTTTCGAAAAAAAAAATGTTGGGGATCTTCAAATCCAAGATTTCTACCCTTCTGCTTCTATAGGGCGCAGCTCCTGGCAGAGGACATCGTGTTTATTATTGTTTTCAAAAACACTGATCACCTTTGAGCTTAATTGCTCCAAAGTTGTCAGGTCATTCAAAAATAGATGCTAATTTTGATACATTGATTGCACACGCAACCTAAAAACCAAATCTAGATGACCTTTTTTATTTCCAGATGTACTTGAAGGCCAGCATCATCTTCACACTTTTCCCTCTCTTAAATAGTCAAATGATACATTTTCCGATAGATTATCAAGTCAATGAAGCATCACCGGAAGGTATAAACTTAGCTGCACTTCGTGGAACACCAGCCTATGGAGTATATATAGAGCAAATTATTTCTACGGGGAATACAAAACTAGCTCTTGCGGTGAACAAAGCTCTGATACAGCTACCTCCAAAAAAGACAAATGTGATTATTGCGCCTATGAGCATAACAGGTAAGAGATAGGTGAACATTTATCAGGTTTGACACCTGTTGCGCACACGCCAGTTGATCTCCGGAGGTTAATTCTTGAAAATGAGACTGTAGAATATCTAATATAAAGTGCACTATATTGTTTTTCTCTATAGAGAAACGGCTCCCAAGATCGGTATCTTGACAAATAGCGGAAAAAAGTGAGTGAGTTGAATTAACAGACTTTAAGCATGAGACTGATGCACCACGACAGACTTCTGCACTTTTTCTTCTGCTATTTTCTTGAAAGGTGACATCATGTCGTTTTTTGACATTATATAGGTTTTCTTGTGACATTTTGTAGGTTTTTCTACAATATATTAACTTAGCACTAGCTGTTGTACACTTGTTGTGTACTCGTTCCGTAGCTGTAAGTGTTGCCTAGACGTCGGTAACGGCAATGCATACTCGTAGGAACTTAGTGATTGGTGTGCTAATAACCTGTATTGATGATAATTCTCTCGGTTTTTTGTCACAACAACAAGAAAATGTTATTAAATTTTACATTATTTTTATCATTCATGTGGATTTTATAGAAATTTATTTTGTTATGTCAAGTATGTTGTATGTAAGTAAGTAAATGTTTTGTGTGTGATGCGTCATTCCTAATTTTTCTGTGATGTGGCTTAATTACACACAATGCTTTTCAAAGTTTTTGAAAACAAAAAATCCGGGGAAAATGATAATTCATAATTTTGAACATAACGTCTCTTCAGAGAGGACAGCAGAAATAAACCGTCTGGTACTGAATAGATATACTTCATGAGCCGCAGATTCAGTAATAGTTTTCTCACATAGCTATAGTTGTAGTCACTGTTCTTGGTGGGTCAAAGTAAGACTACCAGTATCGCTTTATATATCTCCATCTCCCTCATACATACACATCCAACCTACCCATATTTGTTAACGTTTGTTCGGTATGCTCAAAGACATTTTAGTTGTGTGTCTCCGTCTCGAAAACTTGGTCGTTACGTATCAGTGCTCTTCATATTGCCCGGAAATACGAGCAATGATGGACAGCGTAATGACCCTGCAGGGAAGTGCTTTTTCAAGTATGAAAATAAAGTCCTATAACTATCCCACTTTCTATTAGTTATTCTACTCCCTCGTTTTCAAAAACTAGTTTCCTGATAGAAAGAGTTGGTATTGCCAAGCTTGAAACATAACCCAGAAGTTGTGCCCAAGTACGTAAGACGCTTTTGGTTTATAACTACGTCTGCACTATGTACAGATACAGATCTCACCACCATTGAAACGGTCGAACCGTTAGATAGTCAAATTACTAAAAATTCACAAAGGCGTTCTATACATTTATGCATGAATATACACAGGCTGAATCAGGTATGTTTGCTTTCCGTCTCTAATGTAACCATGAGCAACCGTAGACAGCGATATTTCGTGCTTTTTACAAACTCATCAGTTCGGTATAGGTCTAGTCTTGTATACAATCAAACGGAAGACTTGTCGGGAGCGTTTCTCACCTACATTCACACATTTTGAGTTTTTCAAGAGACCACACACACTTGTTTGCTTTCCGTTTGTCTGTTCCCAAGACTACTAGCAGTATAAAGATTTATTTGGTACGTTTGACTACATAAACAGAATAATTATAAACAACTTAGAATCAGTAAATTCAAGGATTCAAGCCACATGATGCATATGCTGAACGAGCTATAATTTCAGATGTAACAACAATTTTACTTAGAATTTGGTCAAAATATCCTGATCTTTTATCTCTATATTTAATTTATTCAACTCTTATATACAGATCTGTAGCATATATGTACCTGTTGAACATCAAATGGAGGTCATCTTTATTTATGATGAGTTGCTAAAGAGCACGAAACAGCTCTGTCAACGGTTGGTCATGTTACAGTTACAGAGATTGAAAGTAAAGATATTTAGAAGGTTCCAGTGTGACGTGATTGCTACTAAATATTTTTAAAATGACTCTATTTTACATTTTTTATTCAATTCAATTTGCATTTCAGTCGCCTTGGCATTAGTCTTGCTTGGTGCTAAAGGAAAAACGTTCAATGAAGTCAGTAACATCATGGGTTTAGCTGCTGGAGTCGATATACAAGGCAAATCACTAGTGGTTCATGAACATTTGAATAAGATTTTGCAGAAACTGACAGAAAGTTCAGGTAAATGTATATCAGTTGTATTATATATAGTTACGATATTAATTGTAGGAATACGATAAAGGTCAACGCTGATCAACGAGAATCAGGTCTTGGCAACCACAGCAGTGTATATTGAAAATTTCATAGTAAGCTATTTAGTGGTTTGGTACCATGTAACTTGCAGGCTATTTTCCAAAAAATATTGGCAAATTCATGTATTTGTAACACCTGTGTTGATATTCCTAATATTCAAAATCTTGTAGGTACTGTGCGTTGTATCGGGTTACCTATAATTCTATGGCGTTATCGTTTTCTGTTATCACATTTATTTATATTTTTGAGACTACATTTGCATGAAAAATGCAGCGCAATTAGACAAGTGGTAGTGCTCAAAGTATAGAACAAATGTTTCCGGGGCCAACATTTCTTATGTGATGTATAAGAACTTCAATGTTGACCTCTCAGTTAGTGCTTGTTTCATCTGTACTAGGTATACAGTTGTTGAGCAAGATCTTTAACTCATGCATTCTTTCAGGAATAGATTTGGACCATCAACTCTTCCTAACATCAGCCATATTTGTCCAGAAAGATTTCCCAATACGAAATTTGTATAAACAAACTGCAGAAACTATATATAAAAGCTCAGTGCTGAACGTTGATTTCAAGCATGATTCCAACAAAGCCGTGGAAGTAATGAATGCTTGGGTTACAGAAAAAACTAAGGGAAAGATTAAAAGTATATTAGCTATGCCACCAAGTGAAAGCACCAGAGTAGTCATTGCTAGCGCTTTGTACTTCAAGGCTCTTTGGGAGCATCCTTTCTTCGCAGAAATGACTTTTAGGTAAGGCGAATCCTTGGGTCGTGATCTATGCTGCGCGATTAGTAAATATACATGAAACGTTTGGAATTCGGATAAGGTGATAAAATTGACTCAATCAATAACTATTTATTGTAAAAATTATTGTAATTTCTGCCACATGAAGTGTGCTTAGAATTGTCAATAGAATCCAGAAACTTGATTCTCTACAGCCAAAAAAAAAACTGAAAAATAAAAATTGCTCGAACGGGTCAGGATTCAAAATTGCAGGTTAGAAGTTGTAGGAGATATTTCACGAGTATCCATCACACTTTGAAGTGTGCTGAGGTGAACAACTGATCAGCAAGTGTTACTCTGCAACGTTGGCAATAATGAATCGGGTATAAATCTGGTAAAACTTGTTGGTGGCGTTTGGTTTTTTGTATGCAAATGAACTTTTCTAAATAAAAGAGCTGTTAGCAAGTACAAAATGAATCTGTAGCGTACAAAAAACCAAAACAAAATACGGCTCTACTACCTGGCGTTGACGGATCCGTCAGAATTATGTGTCCTGTGCCAATATGGGGAATTTTGAGATATTACTAGATAATCAGCTGTCATTCTACCGTGATGGATACTCGTGAAATACGGTATACAGAGGCGAATATATATTTTTTGGCTTTAGTATATTTATAAGCTCCTAACTGCAATATTTCTACGCACCAGGGCTAACTTGTACCGAAGATGAACTGCAAACAGCGTCCCGTGGAGAGTATAGAGTATATTGTTCCCATCGAACACGAGTAACTTAATAATTTTGTTATAGGAGGCCATTTTATACCAATGGAAGAAAATCCCCTGCGACTATGGAGGTAGAAATGATGTCAAACGGCGGTAAATTTCCTTACTACAAGGACCCGACTCTCAAGTGTGAAATTATGGGGTTACCTTACAAAGGAAACGCTACAACCATGTACATTATAGTACCATCGGATTCAAGTGCAGAGAGATTGAAGGAGTTTCAGAGAACTTTAACACAACAAGACGTGGATCGATTAGCTGACAGTACTGAACCCAGATGTGTCGTGATGGGATTTCCTAAAATGAAGATAGAAAGTACGATAGAACTGAGAGACGTGCTAAGCTCGCTTGGAGTTCAGAGCCTTTTCCAAGCAGGTGAAGCTAACCTAGCAATGCTGTCGCCTGGAGAAATGATGGCTGATGCACCCATCACATTACGTAATCCAGAAAATAATCCTATTGTAAACTGTTCGAACATTTTCAATCCAAATAGCACGGAAAAATTGTGTGAAACCACCGACGGAACAAAGAAAATACTCTTCAAAAAATTTGGAGACAAGGTTGGAAGGAGAGTAGTCAAAAGAGATGATTTAGACAGCCTGAGGGAGTTAGTAAACGAACAGTCCTCAGGAAATTTTCAGAATCCAGGACTGTATGCAAGTAATGTTATCCACAAAGTTTATATGGACATAACCGAAACGGGAACAGAAGCTGCAGCTTCCACAGCAATCGCCTTAGCCAGGAGTACTGAAGTAACTTTTAGAGTCGATGTGCCATTTTTGTTCTTTATAAGACACGAATTTACTAAGACCATCCTATTCTGGGGTTCGGTAACTGAACCGACGCCCAGTTTTCCTAGAACTTAGTCAACTATATTATGTGTTTATTTATTTATAACGTTTGTAAGAGTTTTGCAATTAATTTAGTACATTTTTAAGTTGACCATTTCATCTTTTCTTTATTGGTAGCAAAACTATTCGGATTTTAAAATAGTACACTACATACCTTAGTGAAGTAGTGCGCCATTATTGGTCAAGCGCTTTTATCTCCTAAAGCCGGGCACATACATGCGGTGTTCGGCGAATAGCAAATATTTGGCATTCGACGAGCAACTCGGTAGCTATTTGTTATATGGCGAGCACGACCATACACACATGCGGCGTAAATGCCGAATATTGCTCGGTATGAAAATAATGAACACAAACAACGATTAATGTACGAATGGTGAAAATGAATGGTGAAACATTGATGACTGATGCTGCTGGTTTTGTAGTTATGAGCGGTGCTTATTTACAGTTATTAAAAAAGAAGTCTAGGAGAAGAAGTAGAAGAAGGTGGTGGATGGTATCACTTAATCAAAGTAGAGAAAGGTAAGTAACCTTGGCAGCAAGTAAAATCACAAAAATTAAAAAGATATAAATTTGTCAAAAGTAAAAAAACTCGTTTATGAAAGGAAATGGATATTATTGCATAATTTGATGTAGTTTTCAATTCCTTCTTTCTTAATTTATTTGCAACTCTGTATATTCAGCAATAATTTTGGTGGTATTTTTTTTTAATTTCCTATAACCTGCAAATATCCTGTAAAATTGTTTTATTGTTTATTACCAATACTAAAATTACTTAAAAATATAATGTTTTTTTAGATATAGTGGAATTCATATGATGGCAGATTTATTAAAGGAACCATCTGGCAGATTTGAAAACAGAATGTCCTTTGAAGATTTTGAAGAACTTCTTCAAAAAATAGAGCCAGTGATTTCTAAAAAAGATACAAGATGGAGAAAAGCTATTCCGGGAAAAGAACGATTAGCCTTAACTTTGAGGTTTCTAGCGTCGGGAGACAGCTTTAAGAGCCTACATTATTTGTTTAAAATATCAGCTCAACTCATTTCCTCCATAGTTCCAGAAGTATGCAGTGCTTTAATAAAAGTCCTGAGTAATGTAATACAGGTAACATTTTTATTTCGTTATTTTATAAGAAGGTAGAAAAGTAATATTTCTACAAAAGTAAAAAAACATACATATAAAGTACATATCAAATGTTTATAATTTTATCTGAAACTTGTATAACACTGCTTCAAACTTTCAAATTGTGACTCATCAGATGGGGAACATTGTTGAGTTTCTTGAAACGTCGCAGAACTTTGATAAGGTGATGGTGGTGGGGAAAGTCCAATGGCAAAGTTGGTAGAAGATGCTTCAGAAGGCGATGATAATGGACTACATTGCGGGTTCACGGAAGTTAAAACAGTTACATTTTGATTATTAGTAGGCATGAACGGCTGATAATTTAGTGGCATATTCAAATTCATTTTCATTTCAAAAAGAAGATTATCAATTCGATTTATTGCAATGTCCCTAGTTCTCTCATCAAACTGTTTCAATCTTTCAGCAACCAATTCCCCATATTTCTCACAGAAATCTTTTCCTTTTGCATTTTTTTGGGCATTGCTTTGCATAATAGTATATGCCTCATCTACTTTTCTTTTTAGTTCAACCTCTTCAATCACTTTCTTCTTTTTCTGCGCAGGACGCTTGAAGGAAGACTTCGAAGTAGATGGCAGTATTTCTGCAAGACAATTTTTTAAAAGATGAAATTTTATTAAATAAATGCGTTTACCATCATTTAGGATATTTTCATCTATTTCAATTATGTTGTCAGGAATATTTTCAGTATGATTACTTCCGTTAGCGCTTACATCGTTCGGAGTTGTTTCATCCTGCGACAGCTGTGATGCGAGGTTCTGAAATTTGAAAATAAAGTGATAAATAAGAAAACCACATTATCCATAATTTTAATTGTTACTTTCATTTTATACTATTATATTAATATAATGTATAAGGCTATTTTCTATTATTATTAGAAAGAGTAAATCCGGTAACTGTAGCTAAAATTTGAAACACTAAATTTTATCTGAATTACTAATAATATTAATAAATGAATTAAGTATAGTACTACTCCATAAAGGCACTGATTGGTATATATTAAAGGCATTTTCTCATTTATGTTTTCAGATCCCATCAAATGAAAGCGAATGGAAGAATATAGCCAAACAGTTTGAAAATATATGGAATTTCCCTCACTGTATTGGTTCAATGGATGGGAAACATATTACAATACAGGCTCCAATAAACAGTGGATCTGAATTCTATAATTATAAACAATATTTCAGTGTAGTGTTAATGGCTCTAGTTGATGCTGATTATAATTTTATATTTGCTGATTGTGGTTGTCAAGGAAGACTAAGCGATGGTGCTGTTTTTCGAAATACAGAACTTTTTAAAAATATCGAAAATAACGGACTGCATTGCCCTTCAGATGAGCCATTACCAGGGCGAAATATTCCAATTCCAGACTTATTTGTAGACGATGATGCATTTGGATTATGTAAACAAATCATGAAGCCTTATCCAGGTCTACATGAAAAAGGAAGCAAAGAAAGAACGTTCAACTATCGTTTGTCAAGAGCACGTCGCGTCGTGGAAAACGTATTTGGCATTATGGCTTCTACTTTCAGAGTCTTAAGGAAACCAATGTTACTTCAACCAGAAAAAGTTTCATTAATCGTAATGACTTGTGTGCTCTTACATAATTTTTTACGAAAAAGCAGATCATCGCGTTCGAACTATTCCCCTCCCGGAACGTTTGACTCTGAAGAAGATGGAAATATTACACCTGGTGCATGGCGTCAAAATCAAGATAATATGTCAAGTTTACTCCCACTGCGTAATATCCCAAGAAAGCCCAGCATGGAAGCAAGAACTATTAGAAATGAGTTGGCAGAATATTTTATGAGCAACGGAAGAGTATCTTGGCAAGATATATATTGTTAATGCTTAATTTTTTTTATATAAACACGCAAGTTTTCAATAAAAATATTTGAAGAAAAGTAGGTATTTATTACTTACCTATGAATTTATTGTATTCCTTGCCTCATTCTTATTTTGAAGGAAACTAGCCATCTTTCGTAAGCGAACCAATTTGGTTTATATATGTCTTCTGTACCTGCTCCACTTTTTGTAGAGTCTTTAACTTTATTATTACAAGCCCTAAACGATGGCATTAGGGAATCCTTTTTCTTTTTTAATTCTGTGACAGTATTTTCCACCCATATTTTTCTCTATTCTTTTCCAAGCATCGAATACAAGATTTCTGTTTTTATGATCACTCAGCCATGGATTCCAAATTAATGATTTTTGTTCATAGAAATCCAAAAATTGTAATACTGTTTCATTACTCCACTCCATTTTAAAACGAAAAATAAACTGAAATTTCTCCACAAATAGCGAATAGCTTCTCGAATGTCTGTATCGACACAAAACGCAATTATTCGTCTGCTTTGAAGCGGCACAAAATACCGACAAGGACTGGGAAACGGCCAAATACGATTAATCGGCACGAGCAACCATAACAGACAAGTCGGTACTCGTCGAGTTCCGATTACTTGTTATTCGCCGCTCGCCGATTACCACATATCTGTGCCCGCCTTAAGGCGCATAGCCTCGAGGGGTATAATGCGTGAGTGCAATAAAATTTAAAGACGCGCTATGGTAGCCTTTAGTGCAAAGCTTTTTCAATCCACATAAGGCCAACCTTGCAATGCTATTGTATGGAGAAGAGAAATCAGAACACGAACAGTCATCAAGAGGTTTCCAGAGTCCGGGATTGTATGCCGCCAATGTTATCAACAAGGTTTATATGGACATAACTGAAACGGAAACAGAAGCTGCAGTATCCTCATCAGTGTCGTAGCTACCATTTTTATACTTGTAAGATACGAATAATGTATTAGGACTATTCTGTTCTAGGGATCCGCATCAAAACCGACACTCAATGTTTCTAACAATTACTTAACTACATACGTGTTTATTCATGATACTTGTAAGGATTGTTCAAATTTGCGTCATTATAGCCGGCAGGGGTATTATGTAACTTGAAAAATGACATCATGTCGGTTTTTTTTTACATTATGTAGGTTTTCCAACAGGACGTAAACTTGGAACTAGCTGTCGTTCCTTCATGCTCACTTCTAGCAAACGCGGAATGAACTATTTGCACACTAGCCTACTTGGTCAAAAAGCTTTTTTTGACATTATATTGGTTTTTACGTAATAACCCTGCACGGTACATTAATTTGTCAGACAGAAAAGACGGATAGAGTTCTTATCGCTATCGCCCGACAAACCTTCGCCAAATACTAGCAGTACAACGTTTGTATGTTGGTCAGAGCTGTACCAAAAGATACTCCCAAAATTCTAATAGAAAATGGCATTGGGTTAGGAATTATTGTAACGACGAGAAATTTCGAAGATGAGATATTATGTTTTTTTTTGATGTGATAAGACATCTACACTACGGAAAACTATGTAATTCATTTCCGTCGAACTGTCTGTCTGGTTACTACTATGCCAAGAACAAAAAAGGTTTGTAGTTTTTGAGAGTCGGTCCAGTGGCGACGGAACTAGGGCAAAAACCGAAAAGTTCGTTTTCTCTTCTCTCTCTTTCATTCAGAGGCTCTTATCATTTTCAGAAAAGTTTATGAAGCGATTCAAAGTTGGGGGTTGTAGAGGAGGGGAAGGGTATATCCCAATTTTTTGGCGTTATGTGCTTCCAACCCTCGTAACTATACACATATTATGTTAATCGCATTTCACAAATCATAGATTTCTCCATAGATATGCCCTTAAAACTTAGCATGAGTAAGAGAAATATTTGCAATAGACTGGTGGAATACCTGAGTTGCGTTCTCACCTAGGAGTGTCCGAGTTTCGCAATCGGTGTGGCTGCCGTGACACCGAGGTGTATGAAGGACAAGCGGAGAGAAGAAACCGAGGTTAGTTTTAGCAACATTGCCAGATGGTCGGTACCGTCAGTAGGGTGAAAAATGTCACTGGACTAATTGCGAGGACCTGTTTGACTGACTTGATCCTTTCAAATTCTCTTTTATATATGTTCGTAGATAATTTTTTCTCACGTTGTGGCGAACATAATTCTTCATGAAATGATCCAGTGCGTTGCGTCGAAAAAGCAGAGTCAACCTACTTGACACCATTTTTTTAAATACGAAGAGCAAATGTATTCTCACATGCAGGGTGTGGACGGAGTATTGATCCTAGATAAAACTTTCTAAAAAAAATTTTCTATACATACATATCTGTATCTGTAATATATATATATATGTATAAACCTTGATACGGCTCTGTCACAACTACCTTGAAACATATTTAACACAATGATTCTTCTATAATAATAATAAACGGCATAAAAATACTAAACAGATATTCAATTCCTATCTCGACTTGATACGAGTACACACTGGCTTATCAATAATAATCTGCAAGTCTGCCATGTGAAGTGTTTGATCAAAATGTTGGTCAGAATATCTTCGATAATTCTTTTACCTTGACACTACTTCTCACTCTTATTGAGACTTACAGATAGTGTAAACCAAAACAATGATTATCGTCGCCTTGATTGTTATTATACTAACCTATATCGTGTGCTATAATTACAAATTGTTGACTTATTGGAAGAGAAAAGGTGTCAAGTATGTACCGCCTCTGCCTTTTGTCGGAAACAGTTTACCAGTGTTGTCAGGAAATAAGAATTTGAATGAGTTTGTTATTGATTTGTATCGATGGTATCCTGAGGAAAGGTAAGTGATCAATTTATCGAATAATAGTTCCCAAAATATATGAGATATGCGAGTATTTGTCTAAAAGTTATAGAGGGAGATTCAAAATTAAACTATAACCTAGAATATCCGTGTATAGGTTAAACAGTTTTTGACGGGTCTTAGTAAAACTAAAATCAAATTCAAGCGGATAACCAAATGGAAATGGTATTTACCATTTTGGGTTGGTATTTACCAATCCGTTCAAGCGAGTGTAGTTATCAGTTTGGTTATAAGATCCGTGACGTCACGAATCAGCTGTTATATGTCATAGTTATCACCGCAAAATTGTGGTATTTACCCAACTCAAGAGTAGTTTTATATTTCTGGTTATTATTTGAAATGTGACAAGTTAGAATTTTGCCGGGTATTGGATATTGTTATTGTACTTCAACTTCATTTTTGAGAAAAATGATACAGGCTGACTTCAGTTTTACCATAAAGTGGAGCACCTTATTAGTTATACTCATTACGGTTGTTGGGGACACTTTAAATGTAGTTCCTATGCTTAACAAAGTATCATTTGTAGCCATATAGCACAAGGATATTAAAATATGGCCATATAAACTCACTAGATGATATCCACCTGTATACGGTTTTGCTAATTTCTTTTTTCATCATTTCTGCTGAATCAATAAATGTTTTCTTTGACATGCGGAAAAATTTAGAGAATTGAAAGTTATCACAGCTACAAAGCCATGGTTCCATCATTAAAAAAAAATCTGAAAAAAACATTTCTCCCATGAATATTAAGAAAGGTTTTTTATTTAAACTTTCCATATACAGTTGTAGACGAAAAAGCACCGATTATTAACTGATAATAAAAATAATCAGAGATTATATACGCGCTTTTCTAAAATAAACAACTTGCAACAAAACCGCGGTTAAAACCAACGCGTTCAAGCGATTCGTGTAACTGACGTCATCAACCCGTGTGTCATCTTGAACCATATTATAACCGCGGCACATAACACAGAAATTTTGGTTATTCGCTTGGATTTGATTTAAATAATTGCTTTCATACATCCATCTCCCTCAAACATACATATGCAGTCGGCTTCTATGCCCGGACCTGTGTTTGTGTGAACTCCAAGACATACGTTACTTCTCACGCCTACTGGCGAGGAAGTATTGTATTGCGAAAAACTTCGAAAATGAGATTTTTATTTTATTTGGATGTTATATGACGTACATCACAGAAAACGATGTCACATCTCCGCCGGTCTGTCCGGTAATTGAAATTTTTACACAGGGTTACTACTATGCCAAGAGCAAAAAAGCTTTGTCATTTTTGAAAATCAGTCCAGTGGAAGCGAAGAAAAAGGCCAGAATCGAAAAAATAAATATCGCTCAAACGTCATTTTTTATCATTTTTGAAAAAATGTTAGGGGTAAAAAATTATAGGAGGGTGGAGAAGGGTATATCTCAATTTGTTGATGATAGTATATTTAAAGGCACTTTATTAGCGACAATTTCATACGTCATAGGTTTCCCCGTACATTTGTTTTTAAAACAGAATGGAAAAATGTTTCCGATACGCGTCTCCTGTTGTATATGGGCTTAGCACCCAGCGTAAAGTCCTGATTGATTGTTCTGCTCGTACTGGAGCGGTACCTCGGTGCTCGGTGGTCGCTGCCGCGCTGACGATGTGGTAAGGGGCAACGTTGCCAGATGGACATATCTACCGGTACGGCAGGGAAAGAATGTCTATGAGCTAATTGACGCCATTTTTTGGGTTTGTCTCGCCGTCTAGAAAATTTCCTGGTAAATGTACGAGCCCCTTCCCACTTCAGTTGGTCCACTTCAAGATTTGTACCAAAATATGCCTTTATAAACTAAACATGATGAAACTATTTACTTCTAAAACAATTTATTTTCTCAAAAACATTTTAGATACAGTCTAGTCGTAAAAAATACATATTTGAAATCACTTAGACCTATAACTAATAGAACATCTGAACAAATAAACAATGTGCGAAGTTAACAAAGTAACAATTGAAAGATTACCATTGGGTAACATCACCTTTATTTTTTATTACGGCTGAATTCTTTGGGACATAGTGTTAACCAAGTTTTGGCAAAAATTTGGTGTAAAACAATCCCATATTTCTTGAAGCTTTTGTCTCAGTTCGGTGATTGGACGAGCAGGATGTTGTCGTAGAACCTTTTTCATCTCGTGCCACAAAGTTTCAATAGAAACCCATTTCAAAAGTGGTATATTATTTTCTTCCATCCATTTTATAGCCTTTTTTGAGGTATGGCACGCTGCACCATCTTGCTGAAACACAAAATCTTGGCCGGATGTCAAACATTCTTCCATCACTGGTAAAAGCGATTCTTCTAAAATTGCCAAATATTTGTTTGTATCCACATTTCCATCAATAAAATGAAGTTTTCCTAATCGTTTTGATGACATACTGCCCCAGACCATAATGGATGCTGAAAATTTCAGTTTTCTCTTCAGACAGTCAACATGGAATGCTTCATGTTTTTTGCGAATAACTCCACTGCGACTGTCACCAACACAAACTTCGAATCGGGCCTCATCCACTCCATTGTATTGCACACCATTGTTGAGGTGTCCATTGTCTATGACCAATCTAAGCCGATTTTTCTTTTGCAGTGGAGTTAATAGTAGCTTTTCTTTGGCCTATAAACAAGTTGTGCAACTTTATGGTTTTTACTTCACTTTTTTTTATAAGAAAACTTACCTTTCAAGTGCTAAAAGTGCTAAATCCCAGTTTAGTGGGCCTCTCTATGAGTTGTGGACCTCGAAATTCTCCTTCCATCAGCATCACTCCACAGAGCACTTAACTGTAAATAATTGGCACGCCTGTTTTTCACGATTATTCTTCTTAATGCTCTTCGGTCGGCATTTGTGATATTACTTTTTTTCACATATCGTGGCTTAATATTAACTGAACCAGTTACGTTATATCTTCTAACAATATTTCTCACACTGTTCCGCGATAAGTCTAACAAAGTTGCAATTCTGAGTTTGATTTCCCAGAATTAAAAAATTTAATTATCAGTAACCGAATTTTCTCACTAATAATCTTTCCTCTACCCATTTTGAAAACCTTAACTACCCAAAACTATTTTAAACGTATTCTGACAACTGTGAATATATAACAAATTTTTGTTGCGGAAAATTAGAACCCTTGTTGGAGCTGAGAGAAACCAAAATCTCGTAAATGATAATATATTTTAATAAACATAAATAGTAGCGTAAACTATTTTTGTACGGGCGGAGAAGTTTTTTTATTCTCTATTTATTTTAAAAATGTTAATGGTTATACTATAACTATCTAAAACTGTAATGACTCATCGATGTCCACGTGAACATCACTTAACTACCAGTAGTCGGCTGTTCATAGGCGGGGTATGAATGTTTAACATGGGTGAACTAGATTTGTCACATGCTTAATAAAGAGTGGTTTGAAGCATATTGTAAGTCAAAAATTTGGGAATTACCTTTATTCATCGTCGCTTCCACTTACATCTGACAGTAATAAACTGTCGCTATCGCTTTCCTCGTTCAAATTGACTATAACTGGCTCTATGATGGTGTCGATGTGGTGGTCAAGCTGCCACATTTTTGTTTCTTCCTTCACAACATGACGGATAGCATTCTGCCAAGCTTCGGGCGTTACTAGCTGTATGGAAGTCTCAAGTAAAACCTTAACGTCTGGTATTTGAAGGTTGTGTTATGGCGCGCAATATAACCCTTCACTTGAGCCCAGATGAGCTCTATTGGGTTCAGTTCACAGTGGTAGGGCGGTAACCGCAGCACAGTGACACCACATTGACGGGCCATCTCATCAGTCACGTAACTGATGTTCGCAGGTTTGTGCTGTTTAATTTGTTCATACAATTCCGCTTTCACACATGAATCGTCAAACGAGATTCCTTTTTCGCGCAACCATTGCTGCATGTCACTTTTTCGAGATCCCATAGTCGGTACACGTTCGGCTCGACGACTATGGTAGGAAGCATTATCCATGACGATCACAGAGTTGGGCTCAACTCGCTGAAGCACCCCTTGAAACCAGCTCTCGAAGCAGCTGGCATTCATTTCGTCATGGTAATCACCTCCTTTCTTAGAGACGAAAATCAAGTCACACTCTTTTAAAACTCACTATCGCTACCAATATGAGTTACGATCAATCTTTGACTTTTCCCTGACGGTCCACGAAGACCTGTTGACAAACCTTCAATGCTTGCTTGTCGGTTACTCACTACGTTTTTGTCTATCCAGGTTTATTTAACTGTGTGACCTGCATTTACTCATGTCTCGTCCAAATAATAGATTCTTCTGCTTTGTCGCCTATATTCAATCATTTCGCGTAGGACTTCCGATTACGCGTTTCGTAACGAAAATTAATTTTGTGCAGGGATTTCCTCATTACCTCGACGCTCATTTGGGGTATAATTTCATTTTCCTTGATCGCTGCATGTACAGCCTTGAGGGTTGGTATCTCATTCCTAAAGAAGAATGAATGTACGGTTCGCCTTAACGCCATTTTGCTATCGTCATCCAATTTAACGGCCTTTCGTCCCTTCAAATTAAGCTTTGGATCAGTAGTAGCTCCAGTTTTCTTCTTTTCATGCACCACCCTGCGAATGGTCCACTCTGGAACGCCTGTCATACTTTCACAACGCGCGAGTGCATCTACCTGCGACATAGTTCTGTTCAGATAATTGAACACGTTGAGCACAATTTCTTTCGCGTCCCTCTTCAGAGCTTTACGAAGCCGTCTACTTCTTCCCTGGCTTTCAGTACTTCCACTCGTGCCATTTGTACTCTCCATGGTTAAGTATAACCAAAACAGTAACCACAGAAACCACAACAATAACAATCACACAACAATTCTTATAAAAACACACAATATGCGATCGCTCAACGAAACACGTTCCAATGCGTTGCCGACGCCTATGAGTCTGCCGGTCGAGGCGCGTCTTTGATTTCATCGGTTCTACCGGCGG